ATATATGTATGTAGTACGGTTGTACCTGCAGGTCCTGGACGGACACCTCCATGCGGGTCAGGTACAGGTAGGGGACCCCGGAGCTGGAGCCCCGCGGCCCGTCGCTCACTGAGAAGCTGTTGGAGAAAGGTCGCCCCTCCAGCGGGGAGTGGGAGGAGATGGTGGCCATGGAGGCCCAGTCACACTGGTGCGAGATGAAGCGGGCGACCCGGGCCAGCTGCTCGTGAGGCGGGATCCGGAGCTGGAGTCCGCCCCGGGCCCCGGAGCAGGAGAACCAGAGGAGGCCGAGGAGCAGCGCACACACAACCCGGCCAGCAGCGCTCATGTTCGGCCTCAGGGTTCCACTCGTGTCGGTGTCCTGCAGGAAGAGCGACTATAAACAACAGGTCCACATCCGCTCTGGGGTTTCACAATAAAAGACACCTTGACGTCAGGGTACCTTCACAATAAAAGACACCTTGGAATCTCCACGTGACCTTGTTTCAGTGTGTTCTGAAGATTCAAAGATTCAAAGCCTCAGCTTCACTTTGAAGACACTTAACTTTTATACTTTTACTTGAGTTAAATGTTCTTTATCCACAACTGAACATTTCTACCAAAGTAAAATATCCTGAAATAAATAAAACAGCCACGCATCATTACAGCCTTTCAAAATAAAAGAGCCTCAGTTCATTTTGAATTGTCATTTTATTATAAAAAACCTTTTTATTACAGAGCAGTAGAAATGTGTTTGTGTCGTGTCGACAGCCGCAGCGTCTGAACCTGGTTCGTAGCGTCACCGGGCATCTCGACCTTCGACCTCGCAGACGTCACACAAGTTTTCCTCGATGACGAACTGACCCTGACAACCGTCGCCCCCGCAGAGACACGTCACTTCCTGTTTTGGCAGCACGGCCGTATGTCCGTCAGCGGAGTAGTTCCAGGTTAGCTCGGTGCCGGCCTTCAAGCTCCTGCACAGAGAAACACGTTAACAACCACGAAGAAGAAACGACCAACAGTTGCTTCTCCTCTTCCTCACCTGCTGGTGAAGAAGGCGATGACGGGGAAGGCGGGGTCGTGGGAGTCGGTGAAGACGTTCTGGATGAACAGGTTCGGCCGGCAGCTGTGCTGTTAACAGACAGGATGTTGATGTTCTCAGCTCTTTCAAAATAAAACATTGAGTTTATTTCTTCCTGTTGTTGACTCACGTTGATGAAGCGGCTCACGTTTCCCTCCCTGCTGGCGTCCAGAACATAAACGTCCTCCACCTTCGCCGCTCTCTTCAGACTCTTCTGCTCCACCGTGTCTGAGCCGTTCATGGAAACGCCAAGCTTCTCCTGAGACTGGTCACCTGACGGACGACATCCCAACACTTCAGAGTCAAGAGAATGTATTTTAATATTACCACAATAAAAAAACAATAACATTCACATGATGTTTGTCAAAATGATGAAACTACGACAATGATGACGTCACAAAGATGAAATGTAAAATATGATTCGTAATTTTAAAGTTTGAATTCAACAGAGTAGAATCGTCGGAGCTGTACCTGAAAGGGGCGGCGGCTCAGGACCTCCCACTACCATCGTCTGAACCTGAGGAAAAACAAAAAAACACCATTCACTCGTTTTCCTTCACGTCTGATGAAGAACAGTGTCGAGTGGCGACGGCGTGTCTCTGACCTGCGGCGCAGCGGCGTCCGCCGGCCTCTGGATCACCGGGACATGCAGAGGTGGTGAGGTGGGCGGGGAGGTAGGTGGCGGAGACGTCTGCAGCAGGTTGCTCCGCCCCTCCAGGACCGGCGGGGCCAGCCACTCGGTGACGACCTCCACGTCATCGTCTGACGGGAGATCGCACCTCGACAGTTTCGGCGGCGGAGGCTCGAGGGGAGTCTGGACCCGCTGCAGGATCACACCTGGAGATCAAACCGGGTTTAACTACATGAACACAACCTGAGTTCCCCGAAACGTTCGCGTCGTCTCACCTGCGTAGATGCACACAAACGTGCCACGGTCCACGTCGTCTCGGCAACGGACGCCCCAGCCACGGTCCTCGGTCTGGAAAACCTGGAGCCGGACTCTGATCCCTCGCTGGACCAGACGGTTCTGACAACGAGCCCGATCACAACCGCACCACGGACCGCACTCATACAGCCTGAACACACACACACACACACACACACACACACACACACACACACACACACACAC